CTTAATGTTTCTATACTATAGGCCTACTCTCTTTCACCTATTATCGCCGATAGTTTTCTACCATTGCATTACCGGCTGCCATTGCTCTCGCGGCGCGACTGTTGCATGCTTGCACTAATATATAGAGTGCATTCTAGTATATTGAGAGATATTGAGAGATATTGCACTCTATATATTAGTGCAAGCGTGCAACAGTCGCGCCGCGAGAGCAATGGCTGCCGGTAATGCAATGGTAGAAAACTATCGGCGATAATAGGTGAAAGAGAGTAGGCCTATAGTATAGAAACATTAAGAATTTTGTACTAAGTTACGTAAATAGATTTCGTATTTAGTTAGCATTATATTTTATTGAAACGCTTCAAGTGCCTGTGGTGAGAGTATACATGAATGTGTATGAAAAGCGCGTGTAGATTTTAAAATATTTATTTATATATACGTTATATTTTTAGTATACGTTCACATCACAAATATGCATTTTAATTTGAGATCTGAGAATAATTTGAGTCTCAAGTTGCCTTACTGCAACTAGGGAAATCACTTGGTTGTCATATATGATAATTACCCAATATATACGCGGAAATGATGACGATTTCGGCGGTGGCGCCACCTATTTTTCAGCTTCGTGAGCGCGCGAGAAGCGCTTAAGCATGAGCTCAAGTTTCGCGGACACTTCTACAGCGACTTTGCGTCCAAGGTGCCGCGCACGCCATACTTCTCCGGCAGTGCCGAGAGCTCGCCCAGCGAGGGTGTCCACCTGGTGGTGTGCGTTCACGGACTCGACGGTGAGTGCTGCTCCCCCTGGAGGCCGGTTCGTGCACCAGTTGGCCTGCAGCTAATAAACATGCTGTTTCTGGAATCGGGTTACGTAATGTCCATCAATGTCGAGATTACGCTACTAACTGCATCGCTGGCTCCCTCTGCAGTCGGACACGTTCTCAGACTTTGAGCAGATGTCAAACAACCTCCTAGAGGAGATTCTATATCATATGGAGGTGCTGCCGTTCCCGCCCACACGCATCAGGTAATGAGCGTGTTCACTTGTTTTGGCCGCTCTCCGGCCCACACGCATACAGGTAAATTGAGGCTGTTCACTTGTTTGTCGTTCCTCACCCACACGCAATAAAGGTAAATGAGCTGTTCAGTTGGTTTGTCCTGTTCCGGCCCATACGCATCAGCGTAAATGAGCTGTGTCAGTTTGTTTGCCATCCCGCCCCATACGATTCAGGTAAATGATTGTTGTTCATGTTGTTTGCCAGTTCCCCGCCCACGCGCATCAGGTAAATGAGTTATGTTCACTTGTTTGCTGTTCCCGCCACACACATCAGGTATTGAGCTTGTTCACATGTTGCGAGTTCCCGGCCCACAACATCAGGTAAGTATGAGTTGTTCCTGTTTGCTGTTCCCGCCCACAGCACATCAGGTATATGAGGTTGTTCACTTGTTTGCTGTTATCCTGCCCACACACCCTCAGTATATGAGTTGTTCACCTTGTTTGCCTGGTTCCGCCCACACACATCAGGCTATACTGACTGTGTTGTAGTTTGCCCCATCTCTCCTCCCGCCGACACGCAACAGGCCATTTCCGTTTACCGCTCCCACCTACAAGCATAAGATTAACACACGAATAGTCGTCTTTAACGCCGGGCACGGCCACATGCCCCACCGTTCATCGTCTCACGCCCCGCGCCCCCTCCTTCATTCTCATGTCTCACGCCTTCGGCGCGTCTGCCTGGAGTATTTTCGTCTCACGCCTCACGCGTCTGCTTGCAGTTTCGTCGGTCACTCGCTGCGGTAACATCATCATCCCGCGGCGCGTGGCTGGGTCAGCGTCGCTTCGAGCCGCTGCTGGGCAAACTGCACACCTACCTGTCGCTGTCCGGCCCGCACCTCGCACCCTCTACAACAACAGGCGGCCTCGTCAACGCCGGTACGTAACGTCAGCGCCACCTGCAGTAATTAATGCTGTTAATTAGGCAGTGTAGTAATTAACGCTGGTGCAGACAAAGACAAATAGATCGGCAGCAGGAAGGCAGGCAGGCAGAGAGAGAGAGAGAGAGAGAAAGAGAGATAGAGAGAGAGATAGAGATGGAGAGACAGGCAGGCAGGCAGGCAGGCAGAGAGGGAGAGGGAGAGGGAGAGGGAGAGAGGAGAGAGGGACGAGAGGGAGAGAGGGAGAGAGCGAGAGAGCGAGATCTAGAGAGAGAGAGAGCGAGAGAGCGAGAGATAGATAGATAGATAGATAGATAGATAGATAGATAGATAGATAGATAGATAGAGAGAGACAGGCAGGCAGAAAGAGAGAACGGAGAGAGAGAGAAGAGAGAGAGGCGAGAAGAGAGAAAGAGAGAGAGCGAGACGAGAGAGAGAGAGAGAGAGCAGAGAGAGCGAGAGAGAGAGGAGAGAGAGAGAGAGGAGAGAGAGAGAGAGAGAGAGAGAGAGAGAGAGAGAAGAGAGAGAGATAGAGAGAGAGAGAGAGAGAGAGAGAGAGAGAGAGAGAGAG